AGTGGGCACTGCCATGCATGGCTGTAGTCCCACCAGGCATTATTTGTGTCTTGTATAAGTTGGTGAATTTTCTGACCTTTTTCTCCTCACAGGAAGACCACAAGTTGAGCCTGGAGGAATTGCACCGCAAGTATGGCACAGATATGACACGGGTATGTCCACCGACCGAAGCATTGCAGACCGCTGTTGTCCCAGGACTTGATTGTCATGTACAAATGTCTTTGTTTTTTAGGGTCATACCACTGCCCGGGCAGCCGAGATCTTGGCAAGAGATGGTCCAAATGCCCTCACCCCTCCCCCCACCACTCCAGAATGGGTGAAGTTCTGCCGTCAGCTCTTTGGAGGCTTCTCTATGCTGCTGTGGATCGGAGCCATCCTGTGTTTCCTTGCGTACGGCATCCAGGCAGGCATGGAAGACGAACCACAGAATGATAATGTAAGTGCCATCAATGTTGTGGCTCGTGTTGGGTCCATAAAATGTGACCTGTAAATCATCGTTCTGTTCTTTTGCCGCAGCTCTACCTTGGTGTTGTCTTATCGGCCGTCGTCATCATCACCGGCTGCTTTTCTTACTACCAAGAAGCAAAGAGCTCCAGGATCATGGAGTCCTTCAAGAACATGGTGCCCCAGGTAGGTGCTGACCGACACATCATGGCGCAGAGCCCAGTAAATCAACAGATTCTTTGGGTTGGCATTGTCCATTGGGTAGCTGGTTGGCATGACATTGTCCATTGGGTAGCTGATTGACATTGTCCATTGGGTAGCTGGTTGGCCTTGACATTGTCCATTGGGTAGCTGGTTGGCCTTGACATTGTCCATTGGGTAGCTGGTTGGCCTTGACATGCTCCATTTTCTTTTACCACAGCAAGCCTTGGTGATCCGTAGCGGTGAGAAGTTGAGTATTAATGCGCAGGAAGTGGTGCTGGGAGATCTGGTGGAAGTAAAAGGAGGAGACCGGATCCCGGCAGATCTCAGGGTCATCTCTGCTCATGGTTGTAAGGTTAGTAGAAAGGGGAGATTTCTTGTGATTTTTTTTTTTTGGACCGCCCTTCTCTCCTCACCTCCTTTCATTTGCCAACAATCTGAACGTCTTCACCGCAGGTGGACAACTCTTCCCTAACTGGAGAGTCCGAACCCCAGACCCGATCTCCTGACTTCACCAATGAAAACCCTCTGGAGACCCGTAACATCGCCTTCTTCTCCACCAACTGCGTGGAAGGTTAGTGGAATCTGCCGGGTACGGCTTGACTATTCCTTCCGGCGCTCTTCCGGCTCTGCCTCACCAGCCCTTTTCTTCTCTGTCCAGGCACTGCCCGCGGTATCGTTATCAACACCGGCGACCGCACTGTCATGGGACGTATCGCAACTCTCGCCTCTGGTCTGGAAGGTGGCCGCACCCCCATCGCCGTTGAAATCGAGCATTTCATCCATATCATCACCGGTGTGGCCGTCTTTCTGGGCGTCTCCTTCTTCATCCTCTCACTCATCCTGCAGTACTCCTGGCTGGAGGCCGTCATCTTCCTTATCGGTATCATTGTAGCCAACGTGCCTGAAGGGTTGCTGGCCACTGTCACGGTGAGTAGAAGATGGAGGG